CCGTTAATAAACAGCTACTGCTGTGTTAAAAATGCATTCTACGATAACTTAAACTTAAATAAGTAATATTTGTTACAAAATAGATTAATCAAACTTTAATATTCCTCAAATAAAGTTTCAGAAAAGTATATTTTATTTGTAAAAGATTTTTTTTAATAAAGAGAATTACAGGTCTAAATGTGGCGCTAAGCGACTTCAAATCGAATTCTCCTTCCTGTCAATTTAAATTAGTTTTGAAATAGAGAAAAGTGTTTCGCTTATTGGAAATATTAAGTTTAATCTATTAACTCGAAATTAAAACTAAAATAATAGCTTCAAGAAAGATTTTTCATTTAAAAAAAAATAATTTTAAAACCTATCGTATTTCTCTGGAGGTTGTTATTCTAAAAGCAATGCATTCATTATTTGTTAAAATATCTATAACTTTACTCTGATCAGTTAGATCTTTAGACCTTTTAATAAAAATCCTGTTCCTCTAAGAATTAATTCCTCGTCACCCCGATAAAAGTCCAGGGCATATAACTATCTTTATATATATATATATATATATATATATATATATATATATATATATATATATATATATATATATATATATATATATATAATTTTTTTATTATTATAAATCTTATTTTCAGTGGCTACACATGTTTGAGCTGCTATTCCTGTTTTTGTAAAATTTTATTAAACAGTAAAATTATTAACAGCCGGCCTAGATTGAGAAGTCTTACTGAGGAAAAATTGAGCCTCTGAAAGGAATTGAACCTGCATCCCTTATTTTCATCAGATAAACCATATTATCCTGAGATATTGTGCGTTTGCAAATTCGTCTACGGAGACCAGCATGGCGGAGCGATCTTTGAATTACGTATTTAAGGAAAGCACATTTTCCGAATTTATATCTGTTAAATAGCTTTAATTTTATTGAAAGGATTTTTTATCTGACATTATTACTTCTTACTATAAATGTTATTTTTAGTGGCTTCACCAATTTGAGTTGATATCCCTGTTTTTTTAATTTTTTTTTAAATAGATAAGTCCTACTACAATTGAAAACGAGGATGCATGTTCGATTCCTGTCTGAAGCAACTCAAACACATGAACCCACTAAAATATAACGGGTGCAGCAACAGTTAAATTAATGGCAAATTGAGAAAGTAGCTTTAATTGAGAAGTTCTACTAAAGAAAAAACTTCGACAGAAATTGAACCAGTATCATTTCTTCACCTCTGGGAAACTCCCTTTGTGGCCAAAGCGTATCTCTACCAGTTCGACTACGGTGTGAGACAGGCAGGGGATGGTTTCATTGAATAACCCTATTTAACGAAGACACGTTTCTCGTTTGGATTCAACGAATCTATATCCGCTACCTTCAGTTTCGTATCCGGAAAATAAACAACAGTCATTTTTTGAAAGGATTTTCTTGTATCCAACATTATTTCTTATTATTATGTACTGATAAATCATCAGTTATCTCCCCTTAAGATCTAGGAGGTATAAAAATCACCCTGTTATGTCCGTCAGTAGACGAGTAGTCAGAGTAAAGTGCAATAAAGCTTTGGTATAAGTTTATATATTAATGAGGCCAATGTCTGATCCTTACCCCAATTCCTCACTATTAAGTATTGTAATAAAAACAAATTTAAAATCATTCCTATCTCTCCCTTCCCTCTCTAATTACGACCATGTCTGTCACACTATCACTCACCATTCTCTATATCACCTTACATCAACTTAATACTACTCCTCAAAAGTATAAAAAATTATATGTAAATTTAAATTCATTTTTCACCCTTGGAAATGTGGTCTGATGAGCCAGGGAATAAGAAATCCCCTGGGGAAATAAATTATAATCAAGGACCCTTAAATTTGTCTGTTTTCATTAAATTATATATATATATATGGTGGAAGTATGTGTAAAGTGTGGGGGAAAAATATTTTTTTTAAAACATACATACATTTTTCTATCAACCGATGTTTTCTTTTTTAAATATTGATTTTTTGGTTCTACTTCCTTGCGTCCATTTTTTTTGTGTAAAACCATTAGTCCATCGTCATTGTATAGCCTCACTACGCGAAGTTCAAACAAATGACTACGACTCAATAAAGTGTAACTCCCTACTAGTTCGCATGTCACTGCCAAGTCAAATGCCCCCTTTCACCACATCGAAATTCCTGCTATTTCTTTTTGTCCACAACACACCATCACGAAACAAAATAGGTCTCTGTACCTTTTTAATTATATCAATTTCATTGTCGTTAATACATCACTACTTCTTGGCCAATTCAATTACTCACATTAACAATATTTTTCGGTGGGGTAGAATTGGATGAATACGCATTCATTTTTATTTTCATACCGTTAAACCATTAATGACGTCTTTGCTATTTCACCATTAGTTTATCACCAGGGCATTACGAGTGTACTTGCACACCTCTATTATTATAATTTATTTTTACTTACTTTTTTATATTATACTTGGTGAGGGTTAAGTAATCTATATTGTGGATAAATTTCAAATTATCTTGTTTAAATTTAATTTGTCGGCTATTATTTTATTTCTAGTATTTATTTGATCTTCCCAGCCTTGTGGTGATTTCTTATAGAATTTGTGCAATTCACCATTGTGGCTGTAGATGTCATGGATATGCTTACATCAGATTAGAATCTTATTAAGTATTTTTATATATTTTATATTAAACTTTTTATTTTATTTATTCATCTATAACACACACACACATACACACACACACACACACACATATATATATAATTGATTTGTGTTACAAAATTTTATGACCGCAATGAAAAGACAAAAATTATCTTTATTACCACTCATGATGATAATAGATAAAAAGTAAAATTGGAAAACAGGCTAGGCTAACTGGTTTCAAATCTTGCTCAACAGATCTAAAATCGAGGTTAATAATTTATAATAGAATTATCAAAACTGACTGGTGACTTCGTGCTATCACAACTAGGGTTCAGACACTTTCCAAAGGTGCCGCACGCTGGGATCGAACCCTCCAGACAGATAATATCAGGAAGTCTCCTTCCTGATTAATCGACCCTTATATATATATATATATATATATATATATATATATATATATATATATATATATATATATAATTCAAAAAGAAAAACAGACCACTTTAAGGCTCCATTTGTAATAATTTATTTCACCAGAGAATTTTATTTTTCTCTGGATCTTCAGATTTCCCTTTCAAAAGGTGAAACGAAAAATGAATTGAAAATTTACACTTTTGACGGGCAGTATTAAGCTTACATAAGTTGACATAGAAGGTGGTGGGGAATAGTATGAGAGACATGGTCGAGTTTAGACAGGGAAAAGAGTGTTTTAAAATTTATTTTTATATTCATTTTATTATAATATTTAATATTGAGGATGAGGGGGTAAGGATCATACATTGACGTATTTAATCGGTCAACTCAATGGAAACGATATGGGAAAAGAAAAAGATATATATATATATATATATATATATATATATATATATATATATATATATATATATAAACTTGTCGAGACCTATTAAGACATTTTAAATAGCTCGAGAACTAGTTGTGCGGCCTTGATGTAAATTATCAACAATTAGTGAAACAGACAAAAGGCATTACGTGGATTCGTACATTGACAGTGTTATCATCGCCTTCTTAGTGACCAAAGTGGTATATTGATCACTTCTTGTGTTAGATTTCTAACTAAACATCACATCATCCCAGTCTGCCAGCACAACTACTGACATTTTAATTTAGCTCCTTGCGACTTCTGTTTTTTCTAAAAGTTTAAATTGTTAAAACGCCGTGGACGAGATTAAGGAGAATGCTATGAGGCAACCAAAATGAGCACACCAATTTGAATAATTAATGAAATACGTTATTTCAGAGAGAAAGCCGGAGGGCGTACGAGCCGAAAAAAAATAAAATAAAATAACTGCGATTATTTGATTAATTCCCGGAATACAATGAAATAAAATTCAGACCGTATTGAGGAAAGTCGGAAAGCGTACCAGCTAAAAAGTAGTAATCAAACAACAAAGATACTAGTCCGAATAATTCCTGGAGTAATGACATTGTTACATTTCAGAACTTCGAGAAATGCATGGAATACCACGGAGTTTAACGGTCAAAAAGCTTATTAATTAATGAGGCATTAATAATATTTTAGAGAACATAAAGTCCTTTTATTGGAGTCACGGTGGAGTAATGGATAGCGGCTCAGATTGAGGAATCGGAGAGCCGAGTTCAAATCTCAGTCGAATCCATTACATTCACTTACGTGCTAATACCCTTGGGAAAGGTATGAATCCTCTTCTCCTATCAGCTATGGGAAAATAGCAGGATATATCGGGTTCTGTAGCCTTGGATAGCAACTAGTCTATCGCAGGAAGAAATGGCAACCTACTGCAGGTATAAATCTGCTTCGTCAGTTATGTATCGAAAGATACATGATCGCCTAAGCGTGTATCACGCACATAACTGACTGAATGTCCTTATAAAAGAAAATGGAAGCAAAAGAAAGCATTTCTATAATAAGTTGTTTCATCTTGATAAACTACGATTTCTTCGTGTGTGTCCCCTTTCGGCAATATAAATATAATAGTTGAATCCAATTGAGTTAACAGGTTGCCATGGGGCTTACAAATCTTGGACTCTTCTAGACCAGAAACGTTTTTAAACTCAGAAAGCTGGATTAAAAACAAAAACAAAAAAACAAAAAAACGGCTCAAAACCTGAGTTTTTAGAATTTTCTATCGTTTCTCTGTTCGATAGAATAAATAAAAGAAATAATCAGGCGTTATTAAGTATCCTGTCTCTGATACCGATTTCAAGAAGAGCAGTTTTACTTTCTTTTCTATCAATATTTATCGCAACTCATTTTATTCAAATAATTCAGTGCCTAATTCGAATGGGAAATTATAACATTGGGTGCGGTGGGATCAACGTTCAAATCCTCGCAATTCACCCATTCTGTCAAGAAACTGCTGGACAAGGAAAGCGGGAGAAAACAATAAAAAGAAATGGAAGCAAGAGAAAGAGAAAGGAAAGACAAATGGTAATAAAGAGAGAATGATAAGAGATAAAGATTGAGTGAATCAGACAGAGATAGTGATAAAGAAAAAGAGAGATAAGCGAGCGTGCAAGCGATAATGAGTGGAAAAGAGAGAAAGACAGAAAGAGAGAGAGAGAGAGAGAGAGAGAGAGAGAGAGAGAGTGTGTGTGTGTGTGTGTGTGAAAGAAAACACGAAAGAGAGAAATAAAAAGAGTAAAAGACAGGGAAAGAAACAGAAAATCAGAGAGAGAAAGATAAAAAGAGTTGGACACGAAGAGAGATGGACAGAAAGACTGAGCGAAAGAGAGGGAAACAGAATCGGAGAGAGAGAGAGAGAAAGAGAGAGAGAGAGAGAGAGAGAGAGAGAGAGAGAGAGAGAGAGAGAGAAAGAAAGAAAGATGGAGATTAACTTTGTTCATTTTCTGTGATTTTTCTGCATTTTTTCTTTCATCAAACGAATTGCATTCTCGGATCGATCCTTGCAAAATCGATGCCCAGTTCGGCGACGCGCAAAATAATGTCTTAGCCGGCAGCAATCTTTACCGGTGATGGATATGCAAATACAATCCTATTTTTATGACGCTATACAGTACACCGAGGAGGGGTGAGGGGACATGACCAGCGTATGGCAGAGGAAAGACTTTCGCTGAACGAATTGAGAACAACACACGCACACACACACACACACACACACACACACACACACACACACACACACACACACACACACACACACACACATCTATCTATCTATCTATCTATCTATCTATCTATCTATCTATCTATCTGTATAGTGACATTTACAAAGGTTGGCATGGTTTATGAAGAAGAAATCAGTAGCAAGACAAGACACCGGGTCAAAAGCAAACTCACGAACAACAGTTAGCGAGACTTGTTTGTTCTTCACTGAAGTGTGACTGATCTCAATCATATATTTACTAAACTTATTTGAATTTGACACAAAGCCATCAACGAGAGAAAGTAATCGCCTGCTCACTAAGCTCGTTAACTACAACTTCACATCGCGCGAGACCTTTAAATATATGTCAACTGATATCTGTACATGTATACATCGAAAGCGTCAGTTTCACGTTCACTTTGTACTAATGCCATTAGAAAAAAGTCTAGAACCCAAACTTCCCTGTAGTCTGTTTCATCCATCACTGGCATGCCACAGAGACTGAAAGAGAAGTCCTGGACACATTTGTATACGAATGTCTTTTTTAGTTAGCCTTTTCTAATTTTATTTGCGTGTAAATGTTTCGTGTGAGTATGTATATTAGTTTTATTTGTGTATATGTATGAAATGTGTTTGTAAGTTGTCTGTACGAGGCCCCCAACGTTGTAAAGCGAGTGTAACTCCTTATATAATAGATATTTTAAACATAAAGTAAATAATATTTGTTTCAAATCTGATTAATTAAACTTTAAATCAGCAAATATTCCCCAAATAAAGTTTCAAAAAGTATATTTTATTTTTGGAAATTTTTTTAATAAAGAGAATGATCAGCTATTTTAGCAAAAAAAAAAAAAATCCTTCCAATCATTTTAAATTAGTATTTGAAATACACCAAAGTATTTTGCGTATTAGAAATATTAAATTTAATCTGTTAGCTGTTAATTAAAATAAAAGCTTTAAGAAAGATTTTTCATTAAAAAAAAAAAAATTGAAACCTTAGGTAACGCGTTTTTGTGGAGGTCCATATATATATATATCGACATCCACAGTATGGCTAGACGTCCGATTGCTTCAAGTCAGGATCGAAACCCGACTGATTTGACATCAGTTAGATGGCAGAAAGAAAAGGAATTTTATCGTTTTTCTCTATACGAAATACGCCAGTGGCTCGGAGAACTCAATTCAATTTACTTGAAGAGTAATACTTATATATATATATATATATATATATATATATATATATATTTTTATGAATGCACTTGGCTGTAATATATCTATATCTATCTATTTATCTAGCTATTTTAAGACATTTTTTATGCTTATACGTTCTTTTTATAGATACAAATATTTAAGTAAATGTTCTGTTTATAATAAACAGTATTAACGACATTTACCGGCGTGAATGTTCAAGAAATTTTCATAGAAATTATGCGTCCTCCGACAGGAATCGAACCTGTATCCTATACAGAACCGTCATATAGCCTGACGTGCTTTACCGATTTAGCCACAGAGGAGCGTTTCGGTTAGCAAGGTCGATTTTACTGTTTTTAAACTACAATTCTCCATGATTTTCTTTCGTACATTCATATCTACTCGATGCGTATCCAAATGTCAAAAAATGACGTCACATATTATGAAATGGACAAAGTCCGACAATTATTTTAAGACATTTTCTATCTATCTATCTATCTATCTATCTTGGCAGCAATTGTTCTTGTAGAAATGGCTTAATAAAAGGAATGAATATTTTATGTCTATTAATTTTATTGATCATTTTTCATAATATACCAATAACTTTTTACAAATGTGAAACGGAAGAAAAATAGCCAGAATTCACATTAGTCATAGTCAGATTTGTGAGTAAAGATAAGAAAAGAAAATCAAATGTATTTAAGTAGTTCATTTTTTTTTTAAAAAGAAGTATTGTTACTTGTAACTGACTGCCAGTCTCAATGAAAAAGGTCCACAGTTTATATTATTATTATTCTTTTATTTCGGAAAGACACCGTGAAAACTAGAAACAAATAACAAATATATCACTTAAAAGAGAAAATGAATGAACAAAATACATTTCAAAGAAATACACAAATAAGGAAAACACTTATCAAACAGAAACAGTAACAACTTGAAACACATTCAAAGAGGAGATGATAAAGAGAAACATGGTGAGTTAATTAATTACCACGTTGCTTCTTTAACCAGCAGTAGCTAAAGAACAGGTAGTACTTTCAGCTAAGGTTATTTGTATTCGTTGGTTGTCATCAGAATTAAACGAGATGGCTGGCGAAGTCAACTGTTGTAGAAATCTGCTTCAGAGGAGTCCATTTACTACCATTTGCTGAGCTGACAAGTAAACTATATCACGTGACAAAACGCAGCAACTCCCGACTTGTCGTTCCCTTTTATTTCTTCTCATCTTATTTCTTTTGTCGGACACACGACAAGCTAAACACATCTGTGAATATATATGATAAATGTCTATTTTTATATTTTTTACGAAGCATTAAAAATATTCCCATAATTTTAATCCTATTCCTACTATTAAGTAGCAAAATTTCCAATCATGTGAACGCATATAGCGGTCCATTCAGCGACCTTTACATTACTTTTTGTTTGAACGCTAAATCCAATGCAGTAAGACCTATCAACGCAGTAAGTCCTTAACAGCAACTGGTGGCAGCCATTTGCAATTATTCATGCAGTCAGTCAGTTTGACTATCCCATGGATATTCTTTTTTTTTGGTGGGGGGAGGGACGCTGATTATACTCAAATTACCCCACCCAGGGGGAAATTGGGACGTATATAAATAGTTCCTATTTATCTGATACTAGGGTCATCATGTGGGCAAATTTTTTTCTTATTGTACAAGTAAATCAGTTAGGTGCCATGCGTAATACACTCTTCGGCGATCATGTATCTTTCGATACATGACTGATGAGGCAAATGTTTTCCTGCAGTAGGGAGCCATTTCATTCTACGATAGACCAGTTGTCATCCAAGGCTGTGGAATCCGGTCTGTCCTGCTATTTACCCATAGCTGGCGGGAGGGGGAAAGAGGATTCATACCTTTCCCAAGCACGTAAGTGAATTTAATGGATTCGACAGGAATTCGAACTGGGCTCTCCAATTCCTCAATCAGAGCCGCTGTCAATTACTCCACTCATTCATTAATAAAGATAATTAGAGTTGAAGACGGCGTATTCTTGAATGAATGCAAAATAATGTTTACTCATCATTATACTTTGCCGGCACACGTTGTCGTTATATGTTACTTATATGACTTATGAGTTCTACAACATTGGGTTTAGAATTTAAAAGAAAAAATAGCAAACTAGGTGAGAGCATTTCCGAGACGAATGAAAGGAAGGAAGAAAGGAAGGAAGGATGAAAGGAAGGAAGGAAGGAAGGACGGAAGGAAGGAAGGAAGGAAGGATGAAAAAAGGAAGGAAGGAAGGAAGGACGGAAGGAAGGATGAAAGAAGGATGAAAGGAAGGAAGGATGAAAGGAAGGAAGGAAGGAAGGAAGGAAGGAAGGACGGAAGGAAGGATGAAAGAAGGATGAAAGGAAGGAAGGATGAAAGGAAGGAAGAAAGGAAGGAAGGAAGAAAGGAAGGAAGGACGGAAGGAAGGATGAAAGGAAGAAAGGGTGAAAGGAAGGAAGGAAGGAAGGAAGGAAGGAAGGAAGGAAGGATGAAAGGAAGGAAGGAAGGAAGGAAGGAAGGAAGAAAGGAAGGAAAGAAGGAAGCGGGAATGCGATGCAACACACAGTACATGAAACCTTCTTTTGTCTGGGTCTACAAAATCATAGACCAGTCAGTGTAGTCTCGTCCTGGGTATGACGATAAACTACACCTGGCATCAAGGCCTCTGATTGAGTGATTAGAGCTTTTGGAGAGCGTGGACCACCTCTCGCTGTTGTTCGCAGGTCCACCCTGAACTGGGGCGGTAGCACCTATTAGGGTCCCAAGTTTGGGTAAATAGTTAACCCCAAACCTGGGCTCAAAACACTATGAAAGTATAAAAATACATTTTTATAGTAAAAAAAACAGCAATACATTTTTATACCACACACACACACGCAGCAATACGTTTTCATAGTTAAAAAATTGCCAGCAATACATTTTTGAAAATGAAATTACTAATGCTCCCCAGGAAATTAAATTTCCGTATAAAATGACCCATAAGGATGTTGATATGCCGCTAAACAATCAAACAATCAGTGTAGTCATGCTAATCAATGATTATCGCCAAAAGCATTTTCAGTGAGCACACGATTGTTGAAAGTAGATTTTGTAGCAAAGGAAAAGGTCGACTCACCACCTTCTGAATAAGATGGACGACACAGCACATGTGAATCGTTATCCCTAAGAAGCGATGGCGCAAGGATACATTATGGGGGAGAAAACAAGCCGGTTGATGCAGTACGATGGAATGGAAAATATTCCGCTGAGAATGGAATGTGAAATCATTGAAGACCAGTTTCACTCCTTCATAGCAACAGTCTTTTATGAAGACAATGGTATTTCCAGCAAAACAATATTCTATGCCATACCACAAAAGTTGTATAGAAATAGTTTAAGGAACATGAAAAAGATTTAATTGTGTTTTACCTTAACTTCCAAATTGCCCAGATTTCAATTCCACTCATGGAATATGTCGGACTAACAAATGTTAGGCACTAGTCATTCTGAACCGATGTCAAGGTCAGTATATTAGTTCAGCTGGGGTTCCTCGTCGTGG